CTCTACACATTAACTCCCCTCCCACTGATACACTGGCAAGTGTGTTCCAGCTACAAGAAGTGCTGCAATAACTCACCAAGGCTCGTTCGGTAGCGTGTTCCAAACGATAACCTTCACCATCTCAAACTACAGAGCACTGGGTAGATGGGAAAACCATCAGCTGGAGGTTCCCCTCCAAGTCACACACCATCCTGATGTGGAACTATGAGCAGAGTCTTCTTTAGCTGGCAGGATTTCCCATCTTGCTAGGTGAAGAGCAAGCTAGAAAGCAACACTGTTAAATCAGACTGTCCCCATTGGCTGGATTTTGAGACTTCTGCCCATAACTCAGGAGGAAAGCCTACCTCAGAGAGCTGCTGGCAAATTTGATTGGCATTCGTTCTGTAGTTCCAGCAATGCTAATCACATAATGTCCAGGACTGGGTCTACAAACAGTCCATGTCTCTGTGTGCAGGACCAGGGACACTTCAGTGCTGTCAGAGCAGGGAGCTGGAGAGTGTGGTGCTTGGTTCCAGATGGATAGGCCAGGAGCAGGGAGGGTAAGGAACAAAGAAGGGGCACCCCAATGGAATGGAATGAGGGCCATTGAAGAAGGTGTCCTCTCCCCAACATCCCTTCCCACCCAAACTTGAGCAGGGTGAATTTCTGGGCTACTCCTACACTTGAAAACATTCTGTATGCCTCAGGACGGAGGTTGAACAGGAAATGGCCTTTAAAGGAGCTCAACTGGGTGAAGGACAGGCAAAGCAGGCAGAGGCCTTGCTTGTTCCACCACAAACTTGCAGACGGTCCAGGGCAAGCAGGGGGCTACTGGGAATGCCACCTGGCAGCAGGGTAATGTAAAAATTGAACTATATCCTTTAGCGTTGCTGGATCAAAATCCTGGAACACACTCCTTAAAGCTCCGTAGATGTAAATAGACACGACATCAAGGATAGCTGCTCACGAAGACAGCTCGCTACAATCAGGAATGAGCAATACTCTTGTTTACATCCTCTGAATGATCAAGAGTAACTCACAGCCTTATTGAATAGTGGCTATTTAACAGCTTTCCAGAATTCTACAGTGCACTTTTGAAAATTTATCACTAAGGTTTGCAAGAATGACAAAATGGAATCTTTTAACTTCATATTGTTGTATTACTTTACGTAATATTTATTTCAGGCTATCAGCTGTAATCAAGGCATCAGAATAAAGTGAGGTTCATTTTTAAAATGATTTCTATAATATTCACATCTTTCTTCCAATTTTAGCAAGCTTCTCAAAAAGTTTATTAACTTCAAATAAATTTAGCAGGTTTTACATGCTTTAATAGTTGTTAAACTGATATCCAATTTATGAGAAGTCAAAGGCCCACCATTTTTAAGCTTTTTAAGTTTTATCCTAGAGTTTCCATATTGGCCAAACCAGCAACAAAGGTTATGGAATTTTCAGTGTAAATTACAAATGGAGTCCTATAAACATTTACACTGGAGGCCACACCCCAACAACGAAATAAAAAGCATGGCAAGCTTAAACTGATATGGTCCGTTTACAATCATTCATAGCTTTATTCGAGTTTTTAAAGTTTCAAAATACTTAAAAAAATCTTCAAATTATACTTGGACTGTGTCTACTGCGCAAAAACAAAACTAGCAAATGTTTAGTAGAGTTTTTAAAATTTCATTTTCAGATATTTTAAAATCAAGTTACTCATGGGTGTTGTATTGACACTGTCATTCAAGATACTTATTTTTGTTGGACCCATTTATTGGCTCTGCTAATAAAACTGCTCCAGATTACCCCAGTTAAATGCAATGAAAATTTCTCAATGTAAGGGAAACAAATACATTGTTTTGCTGCTTGATCACACAGGTTTAGGATTTTAGATTTACCAATAATACCCAACTGTTTGGAAACCTGTATGACGTCTTAACTTCACAACACCAGTGCAGTTTGGACTCTAATTGCATAAATGACCCAAAGTGAAACCTTGACCCTATCTTGTTTTGACATAAACAAATGCTCTGGTCTCACTGCAATAATTAGGTCATTCTTTCTTACCCCTACTGTCTCATGAGTAAAAATGAATGGGGCAGAATAATAATTTCTCCAATCTTATCATATGTTATGTATGGTTTGAAGTCAGGATTAAAATTATGAGGGAAACAATACCAAGAAACTAAGAATAGTGGCAGTTTAAGAACATGTTTTAACTAATATAACAGATTTAGAGACTGACAGTGACTGATTGAATTGATACACAGCCAATTAAGCTTCAGTCTCATCAGTGATGGCATCATCTGGGTTCTCAGATTGGATCACTGTAGTCCACTGCTAGGCAACCAAGAACTTCTGCAGCTTCTTGTAACCTTGAACAGACAAGACACTTAGCATTTTTTGAGTCTTTTAATCATTTTCTTAATAAAGGAGTGACATTTCTTTGAAATGGTTCTGCAAAACAAAATAAAAAATCTCAGCCAACGTAAAACAGGACAGCTTCTATTGTTCAAAAAGTATCTGCAGGACCAGAAAATTGCATGTAATTATAAAAACAAACCATAACAAATTTGTGCAAGTCCACATTTAATAAATATAGGCTTTGGCTGGCAGTTGAACAAGAAATCAGGCAGTTAATAACTTTGATAGCAAATGACTTGAAAAGTTCCCAAACTTCAGTTTGAATGTGAAAGGGTTTCGTATTGTGGGTATATGAAAGTAGAGTACACATATATATTGAACTGTAAGACAAACAGATCAAATAAAGAACTTGGGAGGGGCTGCTTAAACACACAGAATGTGAAACTTGCTGTCTTTTGAAGAGACAAGCAGATAACATAGGAGGATATTTAAGGAAAAGCATTTTGGCTACATGAGGGGAAATAGAAGATTTTAAAAGAGGTAATTAGCATGGAAAGAAGTTTTATGGGAAAAAATGATAATACATTCCAGTTGAGCTGAACAGTGTAAATTCAATGCAGTTCTATGAAATCTGCTTGTATGCAATCACTGTGTTAGTAAATTCTTTTTGATTTGGAATAAGATTCCTTCAGTTAGCTGGCATCTACCAGACAGCTTTGATCCTGCTACTCGTTTTAAATGTAATAAAAATTTGCTACAGTCATGTTGCAGGTTTGGCAGGAGCATCAATGTTGAAGGTTCATTACACAGAATCTTTTCAGCAAGTACGTCTAGCAGCAGGCTATCCAGCCCACTAAATTAAGGTTGGTGTAAATATGCCAGAATATGGTTCCACAGCTGTTTTACATAAATATCTTCATTGATTAATTGCCTGAAAGGAGCATTGTCAATTTTTTAAAGTCGAAGTCTGTTATTTTGTTATAAACACAGTTGAGCTTAGAACGATTTGCACCTTTTTATTTTGTTGGATAGTCCATGAAGAGTTTTCAAATGCCTCCTTTTCATAGAGCGAGCATTCCTTTTGTTGTCCAGTTTTTGATTGACATTTTACAAACATATCGGCAATTCAACAAAAATCAATTGTTCCCAACTTTTATGAAATAGCTACACTATTTATCACGTAGCAATTCATTTTCAATACTCAGAAAAGCAATTCAAATAATTCAAATCCTGATCTTGTCCTACCTCTGCTGTGTTTTGACATTGGCCAAAAGGTGATAACCCTATATTTAAACTTTGTAAACAGGAAGTACTATTTATGGCAGTAGATAAAATGTAATTGTTAAATAATTCCTCTAAAAAGTTAAAGGTCATCTCTTAAGAAATAAAGTATGGGCACTGTATAGTATCAAAACTTTTCCTTCAACTACTAATGTAAAGTAGAATTTCACAGGAGATCATTCTCAAGGTTTTGGACTTAATGCAGATCTTTCTGTTTCCCTGCTTCAGGTTAGGTATGGATGCCACTCTTTCACACATTAAATGCTATGAAACACTGGCTTTCAAATATGTAATTCAATTTTATTTGCAATTGAACCAAGAATAAGGACTCAGTAATTTTTGCAGCACTATATCAGCACCACAACATAATAAATAGGAATTTGAAGACTGTCAGCAATTCCAAAAATAAAATCAAATTTATCCATTTTGTTTTCTTTAAAGACATTTCACTGGTTCTTTAATGCTGTTTCTGTTTTGCATCTGGATTAGACCTTTGCCATCATGGAGGGAAACACCCAATGCATATTGCAATGTGATACAGTATTACATTAAGACACCTTTCACAGATGGCAAGTGCAGCTTGCACAAAACTTGCAAAACAATAGTCAGGCACAATGAATTTAAACTCATAAAACATTAACATACTATACAAATTAACTTAGAGCAACATAATATACAATGTGGCTGATTTCCATGTGAAGAGTGACTTCACAGAACAATACTATTATACAGAATTTCTAGCTGATTTGAAATATATGAATCCCCTCTAAAATTATTCATTTTCTATTAACAATACTGAACTAACTACAGCACTGACTAACTCAGCTTATGTTTTTAAAGCCCCTCTGCTTGCAGAGGAATGTTTTAGCAAAACAGTAGAAAGAAAGCATCTGAAAGAGATAGGAATCCTTGCAACAATAAGTCATGCAGGTTTGAGAATACAGTAACATTTATCATGCTGCCTTCTACCTGTCCTGACAACCTTCAGCCCTTGGAATGCACTTTGATGTTAATAGTGCATATTTCATACGTGCTTTTTAAAGTTTTATACTAGAGCACAAAGCGTCACTGCCAGTGACAGTGAGTTTATCCGATGGTGTAGAAATTGCATGTCGGTGATCCAATCAAATTAGATGCTGTGGATTGTAAACTACTGCGTTTATATACAGCTGCTAGCCCAAGTTGGTTCAAAGAGCTGTAATTTTTGTTTACTTATTCTCAGGATGTGGGTGTCCTTGGTTAGGCCAGCACTTAATGCCCATCCTTAATTGCCCATTGGGAGGTTAGGAGTCAACCACATTGCTGCAAGTTTGGAGTCACATGTTGGTCCGACTGGGTAAGGATGGCAGTTTCCTTCCTTAAAGGGGACTGGTGAACCAGATGGGTCTTTCCCCCCCACACAATCAACAATGGTTTCATGGCCATCGTTAGACTTTTAATTCTTAATTGGACAAGAAAATACAGAAAATATGGTATGAAGATGACATGCCTAAAAGCTTGGTCACAGCATTGGGCTTTAACGTAATCTTAAAGGAAGTTATAGGAAGGGAATTTCAAAGCATGGGCCTTGATGATTTAAGGAAAGTCCCTCAACAATGGACTTAATAGAGGGAAAGATTCATAAAATGGCAGAGTCAGAAGAGAGTTCTCAGGGTATGGGAGCTAGTGGAGTGAGGTTAGAAGGACACGACAGTTATAGGGAGTTGAGAGAAAATGGAGGAATTTAAAGAGGAAAATTTAAATTAATCACATTTGGTACACTGACCACTACAAGTCAATAGGTTAACAAGAATAGGGATAGTTGGGTGAAATGGAATTTGGAAAACAGAATTTTGAAACAGCTGAGGTTCACAGAGGACACAAGCTGGAAGGCTGGCCGGGGGAAGTTTGCACATTAAAGTCTGGAGGAGGCAAAGGCATGAGCAAGGATTAAAGTAGCAAATGGGCTCAGGAAGGGAACAAGCAGGTGATTTGTGATGGAGAGCATATGAATTGAAATGTTGGTTCAGGGTTTACTCTGAAAAAATGGCTAGGAATGGGACGGAATGGATGGTAAATAGTGAATGATAGCCTTTATGTTTGTGTTCAAATTGGTATTCATCCACAACTGGACATTGAAGAAAGACACAGAGGCAAATTGCAGTCAGGAATCATGATGGAGAGGTAGCACAGGTAAAATCAGAATGGGAAAATCAAGAAATTCAACTATCTGATTGGATATTTGAGGCAAAACTGCAACATGATCTAAAACAGAGAGCTGTAGTGATAGTTGATGTATTGGCAGTGATTTTCAAAATTCCCCTTGATTCCAGAATGTTTCCAGTAGATTGTAAATAGCAAATGTGACATTAAGTTTGAGGAAAGGAGGGAGCGCGAAAACAGGGAGCTCCTTGTCATCAATCACTGGAAAAGCGCTGGAATCTATTATTGGGAAGTCTTAACAATGTATTTAGAAAGCACAATATGATTTTTAAAAAAAGGGTCAAGTCAGTTTTAAGAAATTGAAACAAAGAGCGGGATAAATGTGGCATTTTCAAGTTGACTACTGGATTGCTAGGGTCTCAGTTATGTACACTTTACATCAATGACATAGACAAGGAGACAAAGTTGTGTATCCAGGTTGGTTAATAGTACAGAGCTAGGTGAGAACATAGGTTATGAGGAGGACACAATGGGGTGGCAAATGGATATAGACAGGTTAAGTGAGTGGGCAATAAAATGGCCAATGGAGTATAATGTGAGGAAATGTGAACTTATGCAGTTATGCCAGAAGACTGGAAATGCAACTATTTTTTAAAACATGTATGAAATTTATAAACATCGATGTCTAGAGAAATGGATACACTTGTATAAGGAACCCATTTCACATGGGAATACAGCAAGCAAACAGCATGTTGACCTTTAATGTAAGAGTTTGGGAGGACAAGAATAAACTGTGCAGCGTTTTGGGGACACGACACCTGAAATACTGTTGCAATTTTGGTTTCCTTATTTAAAGATGGATATATTTACAATGGAGACAGTGCAGGAAATTTTGGTCCCTGGAATGAATGATTTGTCTTAAACTGAGTGGCTGAGTAAATTCTACATATATTCTCTGGATTTTAGAAGAGTAAGAGTTGATCTCATTGTAACATTCAAGATTATTAAAGAGCTTGATAGGTAGATACTGAAATAGTGTTTCCTTGCCTGGGAGCATAGAACTAGGGGGCACTGTTTCAGGATAAGGGGCAGTTCATTTCAGACTGATATGAGGAGAAATTTCTTATGGAAAAGGTTGGTGAATCTTTGAAATGTTCTACCTTTGTTGGTTGTGGATACTTAAGGCTGGCTCGACAGGTTTTTGGTTTTTCCGGAATGCAAGGGATATGGGCAGAGAGCAGGAAAATGGAGCTCAAATCTGAGATCAGCCATGATCATACTGACTGACCAACCAAGTCCTCTGTTCTTAATTCTTAGGTTTTTATGGATTATAGTAGGTTTTCAGAGTATTTATAAAGAGGATCATACACTGTCTATGGGAGTGGACTGGATGTTCCAAGTGGAATTTTCACATTTGTTTGTAATCTTCAAGAGAATTTCATAATTTGCAATCTATTTTCAGGTTTTCTTTCACCATGCTTGCTGCATAACACAACCTTTGAATGTTTTACCACATTTTAGTAACTGTTCTGTTCCAGATGTAATTTGAGTTTTAATTTTACCTGGCTAAAGGTCCAATTCACTCTATTTAGTTTACACAATTACAAAGAATTCGTCCTGAACAATGGACAATTTTAGGATTTTTGTATTCTCTGTATCCTCCATTCTCAGTCTCTGAGCACAGAAACAACTGAATTCCAGAATGTTCAGGCTGAGGACTGACCTTCAGCAAGTGATGAAGTAAGCCATGAATGGAAGATGCTTTTTCATATAAATGAATTTGAATTCAAAATTTCAAAATTATGAGATGGAAAGGGCAACACTACTGAGGAAATTAACATTGCCAGTTGGCTTGGGTTATGGTGAAAACAGTTCCCTTAATATATGTCCTCAACCATTTTCAAATTAAAATAAAAATTACCCATCTCGCACACCAAGCGTTAAAGGGCAAATTCAAAGTATAAATTGTCAGAGGACAGATATGAAAAATATAGCAGCAAAACTGCAATGTCATCCCACGGTTTCAGTTAATTTACTTAAGGTGCCAACAGTTTGTTGGCAAGGCTTTCATCTTTATACATAACAAAAAAAATCACAAGTCTTACAACAAATTTGTAATAATGAAAACAGGAAGAATTGGCTCAAGATGGAAAATAAAGCATGCATGAGTCAAGAAATAAGTATGAGTGTGTTACTGTGCCTAAGCCCTTCAATGAGCACAGCAAAAATATTTATTTTTCAGAAAAAGGCTGTTTCAGTTTTTGTTGTCTTTTACATTCACATAGTGGTGTCTTCAGCTGAAAGAAGGATGGTTCAAATGGATGAACAAAGTCAAGTATGATTGGTTTCTTTGTATAATCACTGTGCCTGCAATATATAATGGCAGGGAGAAGAAGCCAAGAAAGAAATTATCATTAGTTAACTTGATAATATAGTAACATACCAGAGTAAACATGGATTAATACAGTTATGAAATTGCCTTCCAGGATTGTGAAAACTTGACACAAAATCGTCAAAGCAGTTTAAAAACATGAAATGGTGTTGAATCTTCTGATCTTATTCAATGAGTAGCTAAGCCCTATAACACCAGGAAAGAGCCAAGTAAGACCTTCATTCCGTGCTGATCTCAGTCAAGAGATTTGTTGGTAAGGGGGACATTCGCTTCAGTTCCAAACCCGGGATTGCTTCATTGCTATCACTGATGCTTGCTCAGATTATGCAACATGCACAGTAAGCAAACATAAAATTTGTCTCAGTGATGATGACTCCAAAGGAAATGGTCCAGAAATTGGAAGGTTGCATTTTTGCATGTGCTCTGTGTGCCTGGACAGTGAAATCCCACATTACACTTTGGGACTTGTTCAGAAGGAGCCAACAGCATGCCATCAATGAGGAGACCAGGAACAGGCTGCTGTCGTGTATGTTCTGATCATCATGGGTCTCAGGTAAGTGAAGCCAATGGGGAAGATCACCAGAAAGTGGGAGTGCCCAGGAGGATCAGAAGCTATAGGTTAGGGAAATAACTGAGTGTGAGAAGCTGTTAGGCCTCGAGGCTGTAGGCAGGGTAAGAAAAAGCAGGATGACAATTTGGAATGGTGGGGAGCTTTGTTGAACTTGGGCCAAAAGGAGAATGAAAGAAACAGATGCTGGAGATCTGAAACAAACATAGAAATTGTTGGAGAAACTCAGCAGGTCTGGCAGCATCTGAGGAAAAAGAGCAGAGTTAACATTTTGGGTCAAGTGACCTTTTCTGATGAAGAGTCACTGGGCTTGAAGCATTAAGTCTGCTTTCTCTTCACCAATGATGCCAGAACTGCTGAGTTTCTCCAATTTCTGTTTTCGCTAGAAGGAGAATTCCTGCCTTTTCTGGCTGGGTTTTCTGAATACAGCCAGTGTTGGTGCAGGGTATCTCAAGGAATGGCACCAATAATAGGGCTTTCCACCCTTTATTTCAATATGTGTTGTGGTTCTGGTTGCCTTTTGTTTTCCCTTTGGAATGTGATGGATAGGCACCTGCAGTCAGTAATGTACACATACTTCCATTCCTTTGCGACTGAAGGATAAATGGGACAGTCAGTGCTCAGAAAACAAGCTGCTCAGTCCAATCATAGGACAGTAATTTTGAAGGCTCAGACGTACACAATGGTCATTGGGTAAGATACCGGAATGTGTCAAGTACTCAAGGACTCTCAATTCAATAAGATGTCAAAGGAAATCAGAGAAAAACTGACAAATTAAAATTGAGAACAGATCCAAGTTCTACTTTAACTGTGGAATACCATCAATATAGATGTATGAATCTTACAGAGTACATTGATAAAAATGTGTGAAGATCCAAATAGGACTTCACTTCTAAACTGCGCATATGTATAAATGATTGAAAATCGAGCTTTATAGTTTTAAAATTGAATTATAGTCACAAAGCAAGTGAAGCTAATCACTGACAATAAGGTGCGGAGCTGGATGCACCTTGTTGTCTTGGATTCTCCAGCATCTGCAGTTCCTACTATCTCTGAAGCTAATCACTGATGGCTAAGTTAATATTTTAAATATAGGTACATACTCTCAAATCTGGCTGCCTCAGAACCAAGCATATTGTAGATTACCTGCTGGATCAGACAGGAACAGGCAGGTCATAAAGAAAAGTGTTTTAGCTGAGGTTGGAAAAACTTTTGTTTCTGATTTCAACAATCCCTCCTGTGTTAATCCTCGAGATGATGTTAATGAGACAAGTTCCTCATATTTAACAGCCAGGCTTCAGAGTGACGGTGCCATATTACTGCTTAGTGGTTACAACGATTTCAAGTATGCAATTATATAAATCACTTATTGTTTTTCAAAGAGCTTGCAATTATTCAATTTGCTCCTCCAAATACTGTGTTATATTGCCAGAGAGGAAAAGGCCCCATTTTCAGACAGCCTGTTTTGGAGTACTGTACCTGTATGATAACTTATAACGCATGCTATTATTAAAAAGAGACACACTTTTACTGAAAATGATCAATGTACTTACTTGAGTTATTTTACACCTTCCATATTCCGCTTTAACCTGTAACAAAACAAAGCAGGTTGACAAATCTCTGCATGCTTATGACCTTTTCCTTTCAGAGAGGTTTCCACATCCTGCTCTGGAAGCTGATCATCTCTGCACCACATTTACATGGAAATGTTCTCTCCATTGTTGCAGGCCATTTAAGCTTCAAGTCAAATAAAGACACAAATTCAACCTCGTTGAAATGGATTGTCATCGCAGACACTTTCTCGTTGATCCCAGGTTAAGTGGTATTACAAAGAGAGCTGCTCAGATCTCACGCAGATGAACCCTTGTTCCTCTCACTATTCTTGAATAAATACCACCGAGCCTAGGGGAGTTAGTTATTTTGAACCCTTTTAGCTTGTCTCATTTATGTTGCAATGATTGATGATATTTGTAATATCTTTGTTTGAAAAAGCTTGTTGCTTATGTCTTCCCTTGTGAGTACTGAAAGTAGATGTTCAGAATATTGACAATAGTATGCTCATTCTTAGTTTGTAACTTGCTTGCACATGTAATGGTTTTCACCTTGTCTGTCTCTTATAGTAAAGTATGACATTATGGGAGCATAAATTGTGAATTCTAATGAAATGAGATCACGTAAGGAACAAACTAATGCATGATCAAGAGATCTGAGCACCATAAAACAATAATAGGGATTTCTACGAGAAGACCACAAGATATAGAAGGAGAATTCGGCCATTTGGCCCACTGTGTCTACTCCATTACTGATGTGTTTCTCAATCCCATTCTCTTGCCTTCTCCCTGTAACCCTTGTTTCCCTTACCAATCAAGAACCTATCCATCTCTTTCTTAAATATATTCAATGACTTGTCCTCCACAACCTTTTGTGGCAATGAGTTCCACACATTTGGCTGAAGAAATCCCTCCTCATCTCAGTTCTAAAGGGCCAACTCTTCAATCTGAGGCTGTGCCCTTGGGACCTAGTTTCTCCTGCTAGTGAAAAAACAACTTTTCCACATTAACTCTATCCAGGCCCCTCAGTACTTTGTAAGTTTCAGTCAAATTCCCCGTCATCCTTCTAAATGCCATTGAGCACAGACCCAGTGTCCTCAATCGTTCCTGATGTGACCAGCAATATTCAGACATTATCAATCTGGACACAAGCATGATGGAGCCTATCAACAATGTAAATGCCTGGCATCCACGTTTAATTTTGTATTGGATGTTATTACATTTCATTCGAGGAATTTACATAGAACAACGTATTTGCATTACTTTGGATTTGTGATTTTGCACCATTTAGGCTGTGAAGTCACAAAATATGGAGAATCTATGAATAAACAAGTCAACTGATGTATAATTACTGATGTAGTTAAGTTGATTTGTTTTAGAAAATAAAGTTTGTCGATAATAATCTATTTCAGGTCACTCTCGCAGGATCCACAATCTGAGATGAAATTAATGATCATTTAGAAGTGCATAAACTAACTGAAACTGAAAAGGACTAATTTGCAGGGGACTGGTGAAGAGCAGAGGGTGGGATCTCAATTAGGCCGTCTATTGAAAGAACAAGTGCAGCTGTGACGGGCTGAATGGCTTTTTAAACAGTAAGAATGTACGATCCTATTTTGTTTCACAAGTTTAAAATTACTATACTTTTAAAAACCAATGTATCATGTAAAGGAATGCTGCATAAGGATTTTAAAAGGCATTTCACAGGTAGGATTGTGACCAAACTTTAGGTATTTAGTAGAAAAGGAATGTAACAGCATGAATGGAAAGTTAGCTTTCACATGAACCAAAGGATCAAGATTAATGGAATAGCACAGGGATCAGTGCTGACTCCATGTTTGTTCTTGATATGCACAAATGGGGAAATGTTGTGGTGCAGTGGGTAGTGTCCCTCCTTTGAGTCAGAAGCTCTAGGTTCAGGTCCAAATCGAGGACTTGATGCCAGAGGAAGGTTTGTTCATAGCACAGTCAAAATGGTTTTTAATCAACTTGTAAATCCCTCCAACATACTGCAATGGCAGGTATAAAGGGTGGAAAAGATTCCTGATCTGTCCCATGTGGCAGAAAGAAAATTGGAGCCTTTACCATCACTGTCTTGAGCTCTGGACTACAACGTTGAAATAACTCCACAGAGGCTGGTATCCTGTCACCAAGTCACAATTTATTCATAGGTGCATAGTACATGGACTCTGACCAGCTAGCTCAGAACCAGTCCCTAGCGTAGGGAGAATCTCTGACACTGTTGTTTGTATCGGTCAGCCAGGGCTGCCTGACTGGCCCAGGTTAACAGCCCCAGTCAGTGATCTCGTACTCAATAAGATCCACCTGGCCAACCTCATTCCAACTGCTACAAATGTGCACATAAAATGCAAGTTGCCACAGTAATGCTGACTTCTTGTAGAAGCTGATCATCTCTGAGTGCCAATAGAACAGTGTTCCATCCTGGTTCCAGCTGGAATGGCATTAGAATCACCCTCCTTGCCCTGCCCAATGCAGAGGCTATGTCAGACCTGCCTTCAGTCAGAGAAATGAACAGGCAGAGGAATACACAAATAATACAAAGAACATCATATTAGATGTTGACACAAAAGTAGATGGTTTGGCAAACTGTGAGGCAGATAGTAAAGGATAGTTTGAGGAAAATGAATGGTACATGGTAATTGTAATTTAATGCGAAGTGTAATGTGACGCATTTTCAAAGGAAAACAAAGAATGCGAGTAAATGCCCAATCAAAAGATGGTGAAAACTCTGGAAAATCAGAGACTGAGGTGTGCAATTACAGCTGAGAGATTCTAACACATCTAAAAGGAAGCATACAGGGACTGGAGTATGTTCAGTGCATGTTCATATGGGTGCAAGTATCCTGGGACATTGCACCTAACTGCTCATTATAATAGTCAGGGTGCAGCTAATGCTCTGAGCTTGTTGCATCTGCTTGCTGAGAGAAATCAGGCCTTTTGTTGTCTTTAAAGATCAGCAAAACATCTTGAGGCAGAAATGCAATGTGTAATTATTACAAAGCAAGAAATGATTGCAAGGGAATGTTCCTTGACTCAGGCACTGGGTAGAAGGGGGTGATATCCTGTTTCATTCCCTGTCATCTGAAAGCTCTCTATGTCTGTCACCATTGCAAAGAGGTCACTGAAGAGTTCAATGAGAAGTGTTTAGTTTGCAGGGTGTGCTATAAGATTTGAAAACACTTAATGTCTTCAACGGAGCTACTAAAGTAAGGTTCTTGTCTCTCACTTCAACCAATCTCTCCTTGTGCCGGCATCATTTGCAGACCTGCTAGCCATGCCATTTCCCTTACTTGTTCCCCTTTACTTTTGTATAATCATGTTGTCACGCTTCAGCCAACCTCTATCTCCTCCTACCCGCACACTCTTGCACCTCCTACTCTCATTTCTTCACACCTCAAATCTTGCATGAATTACCATGAGAGGAACACTCTCTTACACTGTTATCAATATTGACAGCTACAGCAGTGGAAGATAACACACATGAAGCAGCAACCAGTAGCTGGACAAATCAGGAGCCATCTGTACTCCATCCCCCCACTTGAGGTGCATACACTTTACATTTCCTACTGAAGCAATTAATACCTTGTTGCCAATGGCAATTACAGCTCAGGAGTTATTCACCATTCTTCTGTGTAACTTTCATCTATTCCTTCAGGTCAGTTGTGTCAATAAAGATCATGGGGAGACGGTCAATCTTCATCAAGCAAGTGGCAATGATAGAGTGGACATTGCATACAGTCTCTTTACATTGTATTCTTCTCCGTTTCTTGCTTCTGCCTAACCCTTGACACTTAAGAAGATAAACAGCAGCTGTTGTGAGCAGTCACTCATCTCTCTCCGTTCACTCTTCACAATAAAAGCCTCCCCTTGTACTTTTCCATCATTTTGGATAATTAAAATGCTGCACCTCCCTATACCAGTGCAGGAAGAGGACAGTGACCTTGCTGAATATGAAACATCATTCCATCTGACCATAGAAAGCACCAGTTCAGAGATTGGAATTGTATTCACATTAAAACTGGGGATTCTCAAATAGTGGTCCATGAGAAAGCTTCCAAGGTCTCATCAAAGCATGTCATTTTGTCAGAAAGGCAAAGGTTCCTGTCAATTAATATCAAAGTGAACTGAACAGGTACATTCTGAGTGTAAGCCCCTTTCACCTGCAATACCCTCTGTGGAACTAGGGCCACTGTTAATTGACCAACTTCTCCCTGTGGAAAAGCATCTGAGCAAGTGGTTCACTCGTTACTCAGTAATGAGACAGATTTCAGTTAGTGTTTCTGGGAAATTGGATCAGACAAATTGCCCGGCACTTAGTCACTAGATTCTCACAGAGAAAGAGCAGCTTTTAATCAGAAATCTCAGGGAAGAAGAAGGGAAAACTCTTTTGAAAACAATGGAGACAAGCCTTTGAGAAATTCAGAAGGATTTAAATTCTATTGAGGAGAAGATTTCAATGCTACAGAGGCAGATGAAGCCAGACAAGGGTTTGATACTTTTGAAAGAAAAAGATTGCACTGTCGGCCAAATCAGCGAAACTAATCTGCAATAGGACTAAACTGAGAGCTTTGTCAATGACAGGTTATTTCTGCTTTATCACCAATTGACTTTCCCCTGTTACTAGCCTGTTTGTTGTCCCTGGCTAAGTTTATCCATAGTTAAAATCTTCAGTCATGTCTTTGTTAATTGTAGACTTGATTATCCCAAAGTGTTCCTGGTGGGTATCCTTTTTTCTGTTCTCCACAAAGCATATCTGCTGTCTACTTCCAAATGTGCATCCAGTCCCACCCACCCATTCCCATTGTGGTCACTGATCTGCATTAGCCCCTAGTCAGATTCTCATCCTTGTCTTCAATCCCTCCATGATCTTAGACCTTCACCAATTCTGTTGTGTCCTTCAGCCATAGATTCAACCCTCTACCAATACTGCCTCCTGAGCATTCTTCGCTTTAATCACCTTTAGCAGCAGCCTGCAGAAACCCAGGAATGTCTCAACAGCCACTAATAGACTCACTGTG